GGGTGTTCACGGCGCTTCCCCGCTTTTGACGTCAAGCTAGGGCTGCAGTGTCACTTCACACGCTTTTGAGCAGTTAACTGAGTACACCTGACGGGGTAAGTTCCTAGAGGTGGGATTGTCTTCAAAATGTTGCTGCAGCCACACTGTCCTCCAGGAGGCCGCGTCGGTTTCCAGCCTGCCCGTGCGCAGGAGCGCCGCAGACCCGCATCCTGACCGCAGACCCTGGTGTCCTCACACTCCCCCACCTTTACCCACCTGCCCGACACAATATGCTATTTCCATCTCTTAAGGTCGACGTTGTGCATCTTTTCAAGTATTTATTGGCTATTGGTGTCAGTTTTGATTAACCACTCTTTTCCTTTCTCTACTGTCCTGTAGAAATGATTGTTTAGCTTCTCTATATTGATTGATTAGTTGGTTGGTTGGTTGATTTTTTGAAAACTTTATTATGAAAAAATTTAAACATGTACAAAGTTGAGAGCAAAGTACAATTACCCTACGAACCCACCTGTCAGCGTTAACGATCGGCGTTTGGCAGTCTGGTTTGTTCCTTTCTCCTCTCCCACTCCACTCTGTCATTTCACAGTATCTCAGGCATCAAAGCACATAATCCATAAATACTTCCATGTATATCCCTGAAAGTTACCGAAAGGATAAGTACTATTTTCAGAAAACTAAACACAATACCGTTGTGACATATGAATAATAGCTGCAATAATTATTTTGTTTCATCAACTATCTGACCAATTTTCAAATTTCCCTGATTGTGTCATCAATATTTTTTAAAGTGCATTTGTTTGAATCAAGATCCAAATGTGGTCTGTTTACTGAGAGTGGTTACCATGTCTCTGTAATCCCTTTTAGTCTCCTTTCTCCCTTTTCCTCAAAATTTGTTAAAGAAGCTAGGTTGCTCTTCCTGTGGAGCTTCCCAATCTGAATATTGCTCGTTTCATACCCATGAGCCATTTAACATGTTCCTCTGTCCCTGTATTTCCTCTGAGTTGGTATTTAAGTTGAGAAGCTTAATAAGTATGTGTCATTTTTGGTCAAGAATCTTACAGTGTATTTTTACTCAAGTGTCTCATAATGTTCGTTATCTTTATAGTGATATTAATGCGATTAATGATAGTTGCCTAGGTCTGTTTCATTAGGGAGTAAAAAAAGTGCTTATATTGATTATAAGCAAGTCAATATGAAATATTTTACTGGGAGGCTTCAGAATAACAATTGATTGTATATAGGGAAGCTGTTTGTATTTATATATGCTTAAATGAAACAGTGATTTCTGACTCCCAGTTTCTTATATCCCTCCTTTCTTTTCTTTCATTATTAATCACAACCTTGACCCAGCCTTGAAATGTATCAGCAGTGAGAGTGCATGCCTTCCTGTGCCCTGAGTTTTATTAAGAGGAGATCTGCAGTGTCATTTTACCCTTTCATAAAAGCTGATCATGAAGGGGCTCAATTTATCTCTGTGCAGTGTCCACCTCAAGACAAGGAGCAGGGGCACCGCTCTGGCTGGTGACCTGCCATCAGCCCACCTCAGTCCCAGCCCAAGATTGTGGGATCCTTCCTCAAGCCTCTCACTCCTGCAGGGTTCTGAAATGTTCTGTTTTGTCTCCACAGGGCAGGCCAAGTCCTCACAGAAAATTGAAGGCTTGATGGAAATGGTGAAGAAGTTGCAGAAAGGTCATATGTCTCCTTTATAACTGAGGCTCAGACAGAAGTGGATTCAATTCCAGGCCCCACAGTTCACAACCTTGGGAAATTAATTCATGCACTCTTACTTATAAAACTTAATTCTTTGAAATAAAATTATAGACCCATGATCCAAAATTAAAGTATAAGAGGATAGCAGACAAAAACGTTTGCTCAGAACAACCCCCTTACTAACCACCCACTTGACTCACTGCATAAAAGAGATTAACGTTAAACCCAGATTTTTGCCTTCACCTCACCTCTGCTACTCTCTGCTTGCTCATCTGGCTCCTCCCAGCCATGTTGCCATTTCAGGGTAGACCTCTGACTGACTGCCTCCCACTTGGAGGGCAGGGCCTGCCCCCTCACTTGATTTAGAGCCCTCTAGAGGCCTTCCCATATCTAAAGAGACATATCCCACTCCTTCAATCTTTAATCCCTTGCCCCTCTATTTCTCTTGACTGCAGTTACAGTCAAGATGGCCTGAGTCGGTATCTCGGTTTATCTCTTCCTTGTCTCCCCTACCAGGAATGTGAGCCCCTGGGGGGCTCCATCCCACCTCTGCCTGCCCTGTCGTCTTCACTCAACCTCCTTTCCTCCCTGCAGCTGGAAGCCTAGAGCCCAGGGTTGAGGTCCTTATTAACCGGATTAATGAGGTTCAGCAAGGTGAGCTCAGGAACTGTAGTTTGTCAGCCAGGAGCAGCTATATGATTTGCAGGGCCCAGTGTAAAATGAAAATGCAGGACCCTTTGTTCAGAAATTACTAAGTATTTCACAACAGCAACCGCAGAGCATTAAGCCAAGCACGGGTCAGTCCAAATGCAGCTATTATAGCCCCAGGTCTGTTATCCTGGCCCTGCTGCCAACAGAGCCCAGCAAGAAGACCTCTGGAAGCCTCATTTTCTTGTTCTGTAAAATCTGGGCTCTTCTGGGTTTGCTTGAAGACAAATGTGAAATGTCACAGTTTGCAAGGAATGGTGCAGCTGGAGGCTGCACTGACACAATGTCTGTTCTTCTCTTTGGCACAGCAAAAAAGAAAGCCAGCGAGGAGCTAGGAGAGGCCCGGACTGTTTGGGAGACGCTGCAGAAGGACCTGGACTCACGTAAGTCTGCCGAGGTTCATTCAGATGTCCCCAAGTCATGCTTGCCTGAACCCAGTATTCCAGACACTCAGCATCCTTGCTGTGGCCAAGAGCCCCTGCCCCGTCTCCAGCCTCAAGTACTACCAAACTCGCCCTCGCCCACTGTGGATAGGAGTGTCCCCTAAACATCCTCCAAGCATACTTCTACCTCAGGGCCTTTGCTAGGCTGTTTCCCCAGATAATATAGGTTCCTGTTGCTTTACATCATTCAGCTCTCAGCTCAAATGTTCCATTATCAGAGAGACCCTCCCCAGTCACCCCATCTAAAGACAGCACCCTGCCCCATCTGATTACATGCCCCTTGCTGCTTGATGTGTTTCCTCATTCTTTACCCACTTCATATGATGTGTTTATTTTTTCTCTCCTCTCCATGTAAACACACCTGCATTTTGCAGAGTCCTCACAGCCACCCTTTATCAACATCAGGGCCCTTTGGTGCTCACAGAGTGTGTGGACACAAAAGGGGGGGTTTGCCTTGAAGGGTTCATATTTGTTTTTTGGGGTAGGGCTGAACCAAACTGCCCAGGTAACCCTTGGCAAGCCCAGTCCCTGAGGGTACAGTAGGTGGTCCTTGATACCTTAACGTGTCACTGTGTTTTCCAGTGAGTGGAGAGAAAGTGCGTCTGAAAGAGATCTTGAACAAAAAGCAAGGTAATTACAACTACACTATCCCCAGGCTTCTGCCTTTGCCACCCTGTAGAAGCTCACTCCCTTCAGACCAGCTGACACCTTTTGAAACCTGAATCAGCTTGCATCCCTCCTGTGGCTTCCACCAGACTTGCAGTAAATGACAAAGTCCCATCACTTGCCCACGAGATGACACATGACCCTGTTACCTCTCCACAAACCTAATGCCTTGACGGTTCCTTTCCCTGCAGAGACCCTGAGGATCCTCCGGCTCCACTGCCAGGAAAAGGAGAGTGAAGCACAGAGGTAAGCACCCCGCCTGGGCCTTGTTCTGCCCTGCCCTTCATTCTGGTAAGAAAGTGAGGGAAATGCATACTGCAGCTCTCCTTTTCTCCCTCTGTCACATGGAAAAGTCAAATGAGTGTCTTCTCACATCAGCTCTCACAGGAGGCAGTCCTGTTACAGGTGTTCTCACTCACTGGGATAATCATTCTTTTGCTAGAATACCAATTAAATTCTTTTAGCTGCTTTTTATTCTCAGCCTTTCACTCTTTATTTTTTTAAAAATATATTTTTATTGATTTTAGAGAGAGGAAGGGAGAGGGAAAGAGATAGATAGCAACATCAATGATGAGAGAGTCATTGATTGGCCGCCTCCTGCATGCCCCCTGACTGGGGATCACGCCTGCAACCTGGGCATGTGCCCTGACTGGGAATCAGGAATTGAACCTCGATCTCCTGGATCACAGGTCGATGCTCAACCGCTGAGCCGCACCAGCCAGGCATCAGCCTCTTACTCTTTCCATAGGCTTCGTGGCTGTCTATTCACTCACCTGCCTGTCTGTCCCTTCAACTGTCTGTCCACTCAGCCTCTCACCAACCATTCATTATCTTTCCATCCACCTAACTATTTGTGCATCTACTTCTCCTCCTCCAGAAAACTTATTTAGCTCATTTTGTGGTCAGAGGCACCAAGCCCTGGCATCCTAAGATTAGAACTTTTGGGAAATTCAGATGAGATTAATGTGTGTGTGCTTTTGCACTTGACCATGTCCATGTTGATCTCCCTAATTTTCACCAAGATATTTCCAGGGGGCATGTGCGCATGTCCCCCCATGAAGTTTTAGAGAAGGACCTCCCTCTAGAGGGCTAGAACAGGCTTTAGGAGAAGAAGGCAGAAGCCCCACCCCAGCCCCTTCCTGGGGAGACATTTGGAGAGCAAGACTAAGGGCTGCCTTGCCTCTTTCCAGGAAGCAAACCCTGCTGCTGGAGTGCAAGGAGCGAATTTCAGCCCTCAACTTCCAGATTGAGGAAGAGAAGAGCAAACAGAGGCAGCTGAGGTAAAGCCCAGTGCCTTTGGCCTGGGGGTGGAGCTGGAATGGATTATAGGTGGGTGTGATAACAGGGATGGGGGTTAAAAGAGGAACTGGCTGAGCTAAGTCTCTGAGGGTCAAGGTGGTGAAGTTGCTCCAAGCAGAGCAAAGAGATGGGCAAGCCCCCCCAATCCAGTATGGTCTACCCCCAGGTTGGATTTCGAGGAACAGTTGGAGGATCTGATGGGCCAGCACAAGAACCTCTGGGAATTCCACGTGAGTCACTCAAAGTCACTCCTCCCACCTTCCCCATCTTCCTTTGCAGAACCAGGCCCCAAATTCAGTCATCCTCCAGGCTTCCTTCCTCTCACCTCCCACACCCAGTGCCTGAGCAAGCCCTCCTGGCCACACGTCAAAATTACCTTCAGTCAGATCCTCACTACCCTCACTGCTACCCGATTCCATGCTCTTTGCTAGTCCTGCCCATCCATTCCTGCTGCCTTCTTAGGGCCCTTCAGCGGTCAGGAGGAATCCTGATAAACCAAGGAGGGGTCATTCATCAAGGAGATCCTGGATATGTTTGGGGATGTCACAGGCATGGGGGGCGGGGGCCTGTCAGTGTTTGCCACCAAGAGATCCCAGCCTCCAAACCAGAAAATAGAATGTCAGGACGGGAGGGCTCAGTGAGGGGTCCGCTCAGAGGGAAGAGGAGGAGCAACAATGTGGGCTGGTAACCAAGTCTCCAGAGGACAGCCTCCTGAGCCTCTCCAGCACAGCACCATAGGTATTGGGAGAAACAGTTCTAGGCAGAGGCAATGGCCAGTGCAAGAGCCCTGAGGCTGGACTGTGCCTGGCATGCTTGGAGGGAGAGTAGTAGCAAGCAAGGCATGCTGAGTCAAGACTAGATCCATGTGGGCTTCTCTGAGGCGAATGGCGGGAAGTGGGAGATGTGCATGGGCCTCCTTTCTACCCACTCAGAGGCCAGAGCAGCTGGCCCAGGAAATTGGCGCCCTGGACAGCAGCAAGGAGCAATTGCTCAAGGAAGGTGAGAACGGGGAAGCCCTGCCCTGCCCTGCCCTACCCTGCCCTGCCCTGCCCTGCCCATTTGTCCCTTCCTGCTACAGAGAAGCTGGTGGAGGCAAAGCTGGAGGATGTGAAGCATCGTCTGTGCTCCCAGTTTGGGACCAAGGGCTGTTCTGCCATCACTGAAGGGCTCTTTCTCCGTAGCAAGGAGGCAGCAGCTGCAGTGTAAGACAGGGACAGGATGGGGGAATGGGACAAAGGGAGGGAGCTATCAGCACTGATGGCCCCACCTTCAGGCATCTGTTTGAAGAGGAGACCAGAAGCGCCCAGGAGCTCCTGGAGGATACTGCCCAGCGCCATGAGCAGCTGCAGGAGGAGTACCAGCAGCTGCAGCAGAAGAGACAGAAGTGGGCATGGAGCCCCTCCCCGAGTCCATAAGGGGAGGGTGGCTGAGGAAGTCTCTGTCCCATCTCTCTCTCCTGGTCTCTTCACGCCCTCTTGTCCCTCCTCTTCCCCTCCCCCTCCCCTCTCTTATCCATCCCTTTATATCCAGGCTGAAGGAGGAACTGGAAAAGCTTGGAGTGCAGGTCACTGCTCAAGCCCAGAACAAACAAGAGGATGGGGCCAACCCAGGAGAAGCTGTGAGCCCTGGAATCAAGTGGCAGGAAGCAGAGACAGCTTGTGAAAGGAACTGGG